AGGGGACACGGGTTCGGGCCCTGGTCCGGGAAGATCCCACATGCCGCAGAGCACCTAAGCCCGTGCGCCACAACTACTGAGCCTGCGCTCTAGAGCCCGCGAGCCACAACCACTGAGCCCACGTGCCACAACTACTGAAGCCCACGCGCCTAGAGCACGTGCTCCGCAACAAGAGAAGCCACCACAGTGAGAAGCCCGTGTGCCGCAAGGAAGAGTAACCCTCGCTCACCGCAGCTAGAGAAAGCCCGTGCAGCAGCGAACACCCAACGCAGCCAAGAATAAATAAATAAATAAATAAATTAATTAATTAATTAATTAATTAATTAAAAAAAAAAAAAGAAGAGCTAGGCAACATTTCCATCAAGCCTCCCAACAGCCCCCTAAAGTGGAGGCTACGGTTATACCCATGTCACAGGCAAGGAAATGGAGGCTCCGGCGCCCTGCTCAAGGTCACAAAGCTGGTAAGAAGCAGGGCCTAGGTCTGCTGCACTCCAGACTCGGCTCTTATTTATGTAACGAAATGCAACTACATTCTGATGTAGCTATACATAACCACTGTGTGACTACAATTTGATCCCACTGTTTCGTTGGGGGCGTGGGCAGGGGGACGCACACACACATACAGAAAAAGGACCCTTTTTTGGGACACGCACCAAAAGTCTCAGCAACTCTCCCAGGTGACAGGTAACAGATGGTTGTTTTCCTTTGGGCTTATCTGATGCCTCTAAATTGTCTACAAAACATGTGCTGGTCATAGAGAAAAGTTCTTATCGTGGAAAAAAAAAAAAAAGGAAGAGGAAAGAGGAGGACAGGCTTGTCCTGGGTGTTCTGATATTTTAAAGGCACTGTCTTTGGCCCTCCTCCAACGCCCCTCACTGGTCTTGGGTGTCGAGGGTCCGAGGACGCAGCCGCCCTACCTTTCAGACTGAACTCCGTTCCTGAGAGAGCCCACGTAGATCTTCTTTTTATCCACGGGCATCACGTCCACGTAACCCCCGCTCTTGTTTCTGATGACTCCTGCGTGCACGGCCGTCTTACAGATGCTTGAAGTCTGAAAGCCCAGGAAGAGCTGTGATCAGTGTCAAGGTCAGGTGCTCGGGTGAGGAAGCCCTGCTGGGGTCAACCCGTTACTTGGCCTCCTGGCCGGTGGCCAAGGAACCCCTAGGAAGTAACCACGGCTACCTCGATTCCTCAGTGGTCTCTCCAGGGAGACCTGGCCTCATCCATCCATTCATTCATTTGTTCATCTTATCAACAAATATTTTCTGAGCACCTACTATGTGCCGGGCACTGTACTAGATAGATATAGGAGGATTCAGCGGGGAACAAAATAAAGACCCTGCCTTCATGGAGTCAAGGGAGACGGACAAACAAGGGACTCAGGCTATGAAGAAAACAAAACCAGATCATGAGATAAAATGACTGGTGGAAGGAGCTCTTTTAGAACGGTTAACAAGGGAAGACTGCTCTTGACGTGACATTTGAGCTCAGATCAGAGTGACAACACGGGAACCAGCCACAGCCATGGGAATATCTCTGGGCAGAGCGTCCCAGGCAGAGGGAGCAGCTTGTGCAAAGGCCCTGGGGTGGGAATGAACTTGTCATGTCCCGAGTACAGAAGGAGGGACAGGGTGGCTGGAATACAGTGAGCCCAGCAGAATGTGGCAGGAGAGGTGGAGAGGTGAGAAGGGGCCAGTCACGTGGGTCTGTGAGGGCCACAGGGTGGGGTCTGGGTTCATTCCAGGTGCCAAATGAGCCACTGGGTTTCAAGCAAGGGTAGGATGTGTTGTTTTCTAAAGTCATCAAATCATCTAATTCCTGGGTAACAAAATTGTCAAGTTAAACTTTCATTAGGGTCTTAACTTATCCAATAGAAAAATGGTCCTCAGATTGGACTGTCTGAGAGTAACTAATCAACATTTCCCAAAGTTGGGGAAATTCATTCAGGGGTGCAATGGCTGGTGCCCGCTGAAGATGCAGCCTCCTGGGCCTCTCCCTGACCTACTGACTCAGAACCTCCCCAGGTGAGGGCCAGGTGATCCTGACACACACTCAAGGTTAAGAACCAGGTAGGCAGCACCCTCCTGCCTCTTCCACGGTCGTTGCATCTGGCCTGTGCTGGAACCTGACACTGGCCTTGGCAGTGAGTCCCCACCCTCACTGCAGCTCAGAGCCACCTGCAGCATCTTTATGTGAAGATGATGCCCAGGTCCCCGCCCTTCCCATCCCTCCCACCCCCAGATTCAATTGCTCTGGGGTGAAGCCCGAGACTGAGTATCTTAAACACTTGCGGGGTGATTGTCAGGTGCAGCCGGGGCTGCAGACATGAGTGGAGCTAATCCATCTGTGGGCTGAACAGCCTCCTTCATGGTAAGTGGAGCTATTGTCGACTCTGAGCTTATTAAATACCAGCCTGGGCTGCCTTTTGTTTGTCATCTCATTTACTCTTCCAATGACATGGGTGACTACTGTCATTCCCACTTTACAGGCCACAAAGCACAGGCTCAGCGAGATTAGATGACGTTGCCAACGCCCTGCAGACAGTTCAGGGTTTGGGAGTGACTCCAAATGAGATCTGGCAGACGGCAAAGTCTGTGCTTCTATGGCCGGCAGAATAAAGGCCCCCAAAATGCCCATCCTCGTCCCTGGAACCTGTGGATATGTGACCTGACATGGCACAAGGACTTTGCAGATGTGACCAAGTTAAGGACCTTGCAATGGGAGAGGATCCTGGATTACCCAGGTGGGCCCAGTGGAATCTCAGGGGTCCTTACAAGAGGGAGGTGGGAGGGTCAGAGGCAGAGAGAAACAGCATGAGAAAGACCCAACAGCCTTTCAGACTGTCAGCTCCTGCCGCGTCCCTTCCAAATCCAGGTCATTCCAGACTAGTTACTGGTTTTGCAGAAGGAAAAAATGCTCACAGCAGAAGGCCCCGCCCCGCCTGCTCCCTGGGAAGTTAACACTGCTGTTAAAAGGTGGAGAGTCTCAGAGTTGAAAGGCACCTTCGTGCTACGGACGGGAGAATTGGATTTCTTGGTTTCCACCACTAACCGACTTGAGTAACTGAAGGCCAGTTTCTCTAACCCCGCACAAACATGTCTTGTCTTCAGTAAACAAATTAAATGGATGAGGGCAGGGTTCCTTAGCCTGAAGTGGGCTCTGGTGGGAGGCGGGGGGGGGTGG